ACTTCCTTACTTGGAGGTCAGCATATAACCTTGTTCTTCTCAGGTCTTCGCACAGAGACGAGCTCCCAAGACGCAGACGCAACACGATGCCATTTATTACAGAACCAACCTTGAGGAAATTGACACACAGTTTACACACCTCTAAAATTCTGATTATTCTCATCTTTTCATGTAAGCATGAAGAAAGAAGTGTTATTTCTTCATTAATTCGTGGCTGAAAAACAAAAAATCTGGTTGCTAGAACTTACACTTTTAAAGAACTGCAACTGAAATGCACTGACAAAAGTATTTTTAACATCTACTGTTTCTGTTTGTCAAATGTGTTATATATTAGGGATGCACGATATAATCGGCCCCCTATCGGTATCGGCCTTAAAACTGAATATCGGACATCGGCCACCCCACCGATATTTAACCCGATATTTGATCAGCTTCTAAATTTCTAAAGTCTATAAAAATAAAATACTACTTCTTCTTCTTCCTCAAAAACTTCTTTTTTTCAGACTTAAAAACTTCTAAAGACGAGGGAAAAATATTGAAACATTAAAATATCCCAATATCTTCATATGCTGATATATTGCCATTTAAAAACACCATATCAATCTCTTTTACTAATGAAATATTGCTATATGTCATCGTTATGCTACGAAATCCCCCGAAAATTCACCAAATGTTGCCATATTTTTATATGTTGAAATATTGACGCGGTATCGATCTATTTTACTAACAAAATCTCACAAGAATTTGCAAAATATCACGAGAGTTTGTAACAGAACGATGAAATTTCACCAGATTCTGAAAGTAAAATAGATCGATACCGCGTTTTTAAAAATCTATTTGATATCAGCATATGAAAATATATTTGAGTATATTATTTTTCAGAGAGTCAGAAATGGATAACAAAACTGCTATTTTCAATGACGACTTATTTTTGTCCAGCTTTAACATCGGTATCGATATCGGTTATCGGCTACATGAGTTTTAAAATATCGGCATATCGGATATCGGCCAAAATCCCAATATCCTGCATCCCTATTGTATGTGTATATATATATATATATATATATATATATATATATATATATATATATATAATATTATAATATTGAGACTCTAAAACAGGCCTTTATTAGACAGAGCAACAGTAATTATTCCAAAATTGTAAGTAAATAAATAAATATTTTAACTTTAAGAGAAAAAAATAGCTTTTCTGTCTGTCAATATAGTCTATCCATAACTCCTTATTATGTGGAAAACTTTTAGTTTCAGCTGGTTTCATTTTGTAGGAAGGAACGTTTGACTCTCTGATACTTAATTGAAAAAAATAAATCGACAGATTTGCAAAGTAATCGTTAGTTGCAGCCCTCATATATATCTTTTAAGAAGTTACAATAGTGAGACTAATGAGACGGAAATATGATGATTGGGAATTATCTTTGATGCAAACTGGGCCGTCATTAACGGTTTGATTTAGAAACTTCCTCGGTAGGGCCTCTGCTTCACAAAGCAGCACATTTCATCAGAGAGGCTTAATTGGAGCTTCAACGCGGTGGAAACTCGGGCCCAGACAGGAAGAACCGCGCCGCCTCCTCGCTGGACCTCATCCACACAACAAGCCGTGCAATTAAAATCACAGTTATTACACAGCTTTGAAAACCAAACGCATCAATTTACCTCTGAAATTCACCTGCAAACAAACCCCCAGAATGCTCGGCGCCACAGGTGTTTCACTTCTGAAAGAGGAGGAGCAGAGATCAGCAATCAGGGACACTGGCTCCCTAAATCCCAGCTCTTCACTCCCAGCCTCCCAAACAACAGCAAGCTGTGAAGCGCTCATTAGCAGCTGGACAAACAGAACAGACTCCAAAATGTCCAGGAGGCATCTATGCAGCCTCCAAAAAGGTTTAAAAGATGCTCAAATTTATAAAATACAGGATTTTCTAGCAAAATGTTCTGATGTTTTGGGTCTACAGGCAGCAGGAGGTGAACTGAAGGTTGTTAGACAGCAAGGTGAATCAAACAGCGTGACCCTTTGCTTAGTAGAAACCAGGGAAGGGCACGACCCCCTGCTGACGGCATGCGGACATACGCTGTTTTTTTTAAAATAAAAACCAAAGTCAACAAGAACAGAAAGATGAGCTCACGATCACCACGAAATGAGTCAACCAAGCTGCTGAGTGGAGTCAAACTGATCTCAGAGGCATAGATTAGCGTGAACAAAATGTTTTTCTGACAGGAGCTGCGTTACTCAACCAGCAGCATTCCTCCCAAACAGGTTTCAGGCAGGCGGACAGAAAATACAGTGAAACCAACAGAGCTGCCAGGATCCATTTTATTTCATCTTTAACCAGGTTTCCTTTGTAAATAAACAATCCCAAACAATGGCGGGTGTTTTATAGCCTAATCAGTGATAGTTATGCTTTCATACTCTTTGAAAGTAGGGATATTTGTTATAAAATTAAATTGCAACAGGTTAAAAAGATTATTACTTTATCTTGGAAATTGCTGAATCATTTCAGTAAAGTCAGAAAACCTTCACATCATCAGCATATGGGTAAATACTCTTATTGGAAATAAACAAGCACAGCAGATGCTAATATCAAACTGAATAGGAGTCTTCTAGAAAGTATTTTTCTTTTATCAGGAAGTTATGCAGATTAATCCCCTGTGCAGGTTGTGGGTGGTGCAGTTCTCTGTGCATGTCCTCCCTAACAGGCCAAAACCACGACTGTTAGGTTAATTAGATTATTAATTAAATGGTGACCCTTACAGGGCAGACACCGCCCACTAATTGACCCAGCAAAGGAAAAAATGGATATCGGCAATGGGTGGGTGGAAAAGTCTTTAAGATCTTAATAAGTAGAGCAGGTAAATTAGCTCAATTTGTTGGTTTTTATATTTCAAGTTTATGGGAAGATTTCAATGATTATCCTCATTACTGCTTGGAAAACGTGGAAAATGCCTCCAAATTACAGTCATTCTGCTAAGAAACAAAGTTAATAATAAAGTAGCATAGCCCCAATATCTGAGCAGTCCAATTAGAAAGAGATATTTAATTAAAAATATACAAGTAATGTCCTTCAGGAAGAGTTACTGAATCCTAAAAAAACAGACAAACTAATTTACTAGAGAACAGTCGACAGATTCAGACGGTTTATCATTAAGGTCAAGAGTTTTACCTCAACAAGCTTAAACATGCGATGCCAGGAACCTGCAGATCAAACCAGCAACGCCTCTAATTGATCCACTCCAACTTACAAACATCCCGCATGAGTCCTTCAAATCCTGGATCAAAGACAAGTTTGGATCCGTCCCCCTTTGAATCATAAGGTTTCCACCACGGCGAGTTCTGGTTAGACTGGATTAACTGACATTTTACTAAATTACTGCTAAAGCCAGATTATAAGAGACAATTAAAAAGAGTTATGAAGGCATGTTGGCTCTTAAAACCTGCAGCTCGGCTGTACAGAAGCTAAAAGATTTATGCAAAAACGTTTGTCACTGATTAAGTCCATGAAGAGAAGTTAATCTTCCTAATTCTGATATGCAGAGGTTCAATTTTTCCATTATAGTTCCATTATTATTATTATTATCATCCAGAACACCAACTGAAATGTTCAAGACTGACAAAGGTATCTTTAACATCTACCGTTTCCGTTTGCCAAATGTGTTGTAATGTATATATATATATATTTATTAGGGCAGAAACAATGAATCGGATTAATCAATTATTGATATAATCGTCACCTAATTTAGTAAAACTGGAGTATACACTGGAAAAATGATCTAGAAATAAGTAAAAATGTCTTAAATAGAGTTCATTTATCCTTATTTTGAGTAGGTAAATGAGATAGTTTGCCAATGGGATGAGTATTTTCACTCTAAGTATTAAGATAATTAGATAATATGCACTTGAAATAAGACAACGCAATTGTTTTTTCTTATCTTAAATGTAAATTGTCTAGTTCCATTGGCAAAATGTCTCACTTTCCTCCTCAATTCAAGAAAAAATGAAACAATTTTAAGAAAAAATGACTTTTTTGCAGTTCAGAGACTCTAAAAAAGGCCTTTAGGCAACAGAGCAACAGTTATTATACCAAAATTGTAAAATAAATAAATATTTTACCTTTAAGAGAAAAAAAATAACTTATGTCTGTCATTATGCTCTATCCCTATTCTCCTATGTGGAAAACTTTTAGTTTCAGCTGGTTTAATTTTGTAAAAAGTCTTCTCTAAGTAACCTTTAGCTATCTGATTATTAACCGATAAAATAACTGAATAATAATCAATAGTAGCAGCCCTAACATACATATAAAGTGAGATTAATTAGAGGGAAATATGATGATTGGGAATGATCTTTGATTAAATCTGATATGCAGAGGTTACATTTCCCTCTGGGTCTAATCTATGTGACTTCTCTGCAGGGGTTAATGTTTATGCATGTGAAAAAATCCCAAGTACTTCCTGCCTCTCCAAGCCAAAGCTCTGTCAAAATGTGAAATAAATGAGCTGAATGTGAGAACAAACCCTTCAGATACACACTGGGTCAGAAAACCCTGCAGATGTTCTCAACTTGGAGTCTATTAAAGATTATTTCACAAGTTTGAACACAAGTAAAGAGTTTGAGCCTTTTATTAACATTTTCCTGATCCAAGAACATCCCAGCAGCTGAATAAACAGCATTTTTAGATCATTATTTCACTTTTATCTGCTCCAATAATCAGGATTATGGTCAATAGATCAGATTTATGTTTCTTTATCCATTAAAGTTTAATCCAAGAAGTGGGTAAATGTTTATTTAATGTTTCTCTAAGAAACATTTAAGTCATTATTTAGATAATAGACACATTTTCTATAAGCAGAGCCTCAATTATAAAAAAAAAAAAAACTTTGTAAAAACAGCTTTAAAACTTTTTAGAAAGTGAGTTTAAAGGAGGAGTTTCTGCCACTGATGACAGCAGCGGTTGAAAAGTGACAGAAAGTGTCTGAGGAGGACCTACCTCTCAATCACTGATATTCCCTAAAAAACGCTTTAATTTCACTCCTCCTGTCGCTCCTCGGCTCCTGGACTACTTCCCAGATTCACATCCTGCTGTGAGGAACCCGAACCGGACCGAACTGGAGCCTGAAAGTGTCCCTGAACTTTCAGTTGGTCGACATTCCCACGGCAGAAACAAACACGGTCGGTATATTGTTTTCCTTTCCTCGGTTAAAGCTGCATGTCCGAGTCCGCAGCGACGGGAGAGACCGAGGAGAGAGCCGGGAGAAGATGAGCCCACATCCAGCTGCTTCTCCTTCCTTCCAGGGGCTCCGAAACAAGAGTGGAGAAAAGCTTTTTCTCCTCCTCCTCCTCTCACCCTACTCCCTGCTGGAAGAGCTGCGTCACGTCAGCAGGATTTAGCGGAAGTTCACACCTCACACTTTCAAAATAAAACATTAAGCAAAACTCATCAACAAATTTTCTTAGTTATCTTAACCCTTATCTAAAAATTTAAGAAAATTGCCTATATTGCCTTCATATTTTTAAATTAAATTCCTTATCATTTTTGGCCAAACTTTTTCCTGAGTTCCTGAGCAATTATCCTGTAAGCAGACACTGATACCACACTGGAAAAATCTAAATCTAGAAAAGTCATTTTTTTCTTAAAATTAGTGCATTTGTTCTTGAACTGAAAAGGTAAAAGAGACATTTTGCCAATGGAACAAGACAATTTACATTTAAAATAAGAAAACACTGTTCCAAGGTTAAGTGCATTTTATCTAAATATCTTATTTTAAGAGTAAAAATACTCATCCAATTGGCAAATCATCTCATTTACCGACTCAAATTAAGGGTGAATACCCTTAATTTGAGAAATATTAACTTATTTCTAGATCATTTTTCCAGTGCAGGACGGATTTACCATTAGGCAATACTAGGCAGTTGCCTAGGGCCCCAAGTTCCCGGGGGCCCCATCAAACTCTGTTTACATGTATGGTTAATACAACTATTCATTATTTGTGCACATTATGTTTTTGATTAAAATCCTTTCGCTAAAATGCCATCAGAACGCTTAGAATAATAAAGTCGCAGTGAAATCATATTTAATGTCAAATCAGTCTGTCTTAAACATGTATATAAACGTTGTCTTTATCAGATCATATTGTCCCAAAATTTAGAAAATTTCTATTTTGAAAAAAATCCTGTCTTAAAATCTGTTTTTTTTTTCGTTATCTTCTGCAGGCCAGTTAGTTCTACGTCAGCCTGAACATCTAAATTCGGCCAATCATATATCATCTGTCAATCAAATGTTACTAACAGAACTGGCAGCGTTGCGAGGCAAGGGCTCAAACATGTACGGCTGGAAGCCTTCTACACCAAAGCTTCTGCCGCCCTGGCGTCCTCTTCCACAACATCTTCGTCCCCGCTTTCCTCCTCTAAATAAAAAATGGATGACGGAGGAGACTCATCCACGACCTCCGACACTAAACTCTCCTCCTCTTGCATGTTTCCGCTGTCCATAGCGTTCCTTGACAGCGTCGTTTCGAAGTCACCAATTTAGTGCTACTTGGTCCCAATGGAATTTCCCATTGGGAACCTGCTAGCGCTAAGATGCTAACTGGTTAGCAACTTAGTGCTACTTGGTCCCAATGGAATATCCCATCGGTAACCTGCTAGCACTAAGTTGCTAACTGGTTAGCAACTTAGTGCTACTTGGTCCCAATGGAATTTCCCATTGGGAACCTGCTAAAGCTAAGTTGCTAACTGGTGAGTAACTTAGTGCTACTTGGTCCCAATGGAATTTCCCATTGGGAACGTGCTAGCACTAAGTTGCTAACTGGTTAGCAAGATGCTTCCAACAAACCAGCCACAACCAAACTTGCTTACAAACCTTCAGCCACAACAATCCCGCCCCTTTTAATAAACAACCAATCACATTCCCTTTATATACTGGTGTAAAGTTGTGCACCACTCGTGAGAATTCGGAATTCCAACCAATGGAGTGGCTCCTTACCTACAACTTTAAGTGTGTTTGTATGCGCCCCTGACTTATACCCTCCATTAAGAGCATAACATAACACACAAAACTTTATCACTTCATCGCTGAATTACCACAGATTCTCTATCAAACCATATCATAGAAAGTTAAAAGCAAGGATAAAAGGCTTCAGGTTATGAGACGGATCTAAAATAAAATATGGCTGCTGATCAAATATATCACAGCAAATGATTTTGCATCTCATGAAATCCATACGACCTGCAGTCCTGTCCAAAATCTCTTTACAAAAATATTGACTTACTGTTTAAATGTCATGATAAATGATCAGCTCTAAGACAGATTATCAGTTTGTTTTTACCAATAACTCTTATTTATGTGTCCTTAAGGGAAACTAACAGACTTCTCTGAGGGTGTGTCTGAGTTTTATAAGTCTTCACCAGAAGGAGATAAAGCAAAAAGGGGAGCAACTCGATATCAGTAACCTCCATGAGGAATCATGAGGAACGGGAGGATGAGGAAGCAGGAGGAAGGGGAAGAGGATCCTTTGGCTGAATCCCAAACTGCCCCCTAAGCACTACCCCCAAGTGTCACTCCCAATGAACTCTCACCTATGGAAGGCACCAGGATTGTAAATAAGGGTATAAACATAAATGGGACGGCCTCTTCCCTCCAACGGAAAGGGAAAGCAGTTGTTCCTATGGCAACACAGTGATGCTGCATGTACAAAGCTGTAGCTCTGGGGCACAGTTGACATAACTTCAAAATTTTGCCCTTTTCTTACAAATAAATCTATCCAGTCAAATATTACTACTTCATTTAGGGATTAATTATGTTTTTTTTTCGTTTTCCTAACTTGTGATTTTCTGACAGTGTGATGAAGATGCAGCAAACCAGTGGAACTTACATTTGAATGGACGTGTTTCCTCCTCCACTAGTTTGCAGTTACACCCGCAGCCAAAGTCCAGGGAGTTTGCATTGATCCAGACTTGATATTTAAGGGCTGAACGGTCAACTCGCCCTACACACTATGTGGTTTGGGATGGCCCTTAAAGGGACACTATGCAACATTTTTCAGTTAATTAATGTGTTCCATAACGTTATGGATGATTAAATGAGTCATTTCAGGTTGAACAAAGGTATTCTCGGCCGCCCTGGTGGTCTGTGGGGGAAATACCGCACTTGCAACTGCAGGAGCACCGACCCGCACCCACAGGCTCAGAAGTCTCGTGAGAGTCAGTCTTGCTTTACGGCGAGAACTGCTACACCCCCCAGTTAAAAGCATTCTCGTTGCTAGCACAGTGGCGATCTTTGTGCAGTTATGCTACGTTCACGCAGCAAAAGCAGCAAAATCGCATCTGCTGCTTCATTTTTGCTGCTTGTACCAGTTAGTTCTGACGCGCGGCTAAAGCAGCTTTGCTGCTCTGGCTGCGCGGTGCAAAAGTGGCTCTGACGCGCGTTGGGCGGAGCTTCACTATCCTTTCTCTGCCTTGCAGCTATATTTGCTGTGATCATTTGGAATAAAGTAGTTTTAATATGTGTTTAAGTGAGAAAATACACCTGAAAACGTAATCAGTGCAGTCAGTTCATTCAGATTATTATCCTGCCTTCAATATTTTTTCTGTCGGAGCCGCTCAGACCCCCACATACCAGGGATGCGCCGACAGAAGGAATCCCTTCATCAGCAGCGGTTCACCGCGGCAGCTGGTAGGTGTTTTTCATCTAAATAACCCAAACTGCATATTCTGCCGGTAGATTTCTGCATTTTAAGTTAATTTAGGCGTCAATAAACTGTTTAAGAGGAGTGATCATCAGCGCTGTGTCTCTCTCCCTGCGTTAAACGCACCCGACGCGCTGCTTCAGCTGCTCAGACGTGCTGCGCCTGGTGCTCAAAACGCGCCGCGGGACCTTTTGCTGCGCCTTGACGCGCGTCAACCATTGACTTTGCATGTAAACTCGCTGCTTCTGTCGCGCCAGCTACGTCCAGTGTGAACGCAGCATTAGTCATTCGCTGCTAAGCTCAAAACAACCGCGCCTGGCTTGACGGAGAAACCAGGAGAACAGCTGAGCATATTTACGACAGTGCACTTTTACTTTCGCCCTCTGGGGGGAGCCTCACTGGAAAATCAACACCGGTTGCATAGTGTACCTTTAATATGGCGGACCCTCCGTGGGAACGCGCAGAGTGTTAGTGCTTATAGGGGCAATTTTGGGTTTCAGCCATGCACTATTTGAGGGTTGAATGGTCCCTCACCCTACCTAGTACATGATTTGGAACGGTCATTAATATGGCGGACCCTCCATGGAATGCTCAAAATGGAGAGTTATTGCTCAGCGGAAGTGTTTATGGAACAATCCTCGTCACCCATGACCATTTTAAATGGATCAATACAAACAGACACAAGTTAACATACATTCCCCCACAGGTTTGCTTTATTCTTTGAGAACCTCCATCATGCTGGGTGGACTTGGAGTAAAAACTGAAGGATTTAGCTGAGCTGAGCTGATTCTATCATCTAATCAGGCCAAAACCATTTGCAGATTTTCCAAGTGTATCCCAGATGAAGGAAACCCCAGATGAGAACATGAACTTAATGAAGGCGACTGTGTCCCCCTCAGACTGGGATCCTGCAGGATGCATTGGAGGACGAGGGATGTGTAGATTTCCCTCCACTGACCACCTTTACTTCGCTTTCAAAAATGGAAGAAACTGGACTGATGGATCCAACCTAAAACAAACAGCTGAACTGTCAGCACCATGTAAACCAACATAACCACCCTGAGTGCCTTTGCGTTTTAGAGGGGAAAGTGAGTTTTATTTTGAAAATACATGCAGGAAGACACACTCCAATCTCTCAATTTACTGACTCACAAATTACACTTAATCTCTGAGGTTTTTATAGATGCTGGTTTTATAAAAAAGGTAAAAGTGTAATTAAAATCTGAGATTAAGCAAATTAAAATTAAAGAATAATTAAACAGCTCCTTGACTGAGTACATTAAATAAATCAATGCAGGGATCTCTTTCTTTCTAACAGTTCTATTTGCTGCAGTCTAATCCATCCTCAGATTAAGGAATGTTTAGGGCAAGGAAAGTTTTATTAGTATTGTTAGAAATCTAACTACCTAAACATTGACACTAATTTGCTTTTTTTCTACAGAGAGAGAGAGAGGGGGGGGGGGAGAGTTCTGGGAGACTGTTGGAGTTGTCAGGCCCAGTTAAGCATGCATTCTCCCCTGCTGCTAATTTGAGGGTCTGCTGGGGCACAATGGAGGCTTTGTTGGTGGAGAATTTTTCAGAGAACTACTCCTTGACACTGAGCCATTCTGCGGCCTAAACCTTTGTTTCCTAAGTCTCCTGAATGTTATGGTAGACATCAGTTCACTGGAACAA